AGGTTTGGGCCTTTCACTTAAGCCCATTAGGGTCTCTATATATTGTAACTCCCTGACACAGATCAATAAACAACATATTCTTTTACATTTAACTTGGTATCAGAGATTTCAGTCTGGAACGAACGCGAACAGCACCCTCTCCTCCCGGCGACCTGCTCTGTGGAAGTCCGGCCACCATCGGAGTTGTCACGCGCTCTCACGCGCCTCTAGTCTTCTCTGCGCGTGGGCTTCACGCGCCACCTTCTGCCGGCGCGTGAGCACTATTCCAGCGGCTTTTTCCGGCCGGTCTTGGACAGAGAAGCTCGTCTTCTCCTCCTCTTTCTGGATCTGTGGTTGGTTCTTTGTGGGTCTGACTTTTTGTGCGCACCTCTTCTTGATTGGTGATCAGGTTCGTTTCTCTTTATTCGGTTTATATCTTTGTGATTTAATACTATGGCAGCAAACTCTCCAATTCATTCGGAGGTCAAGTCTCTATCTCCTCCTGTGAGAAATTCTCCCAATATCATCTCTACCAATATTGGGTCCATTACCTCTTCAAAATTGAAGGGATCTGTTAATTACAAGAACTGGGCCACCTCTGTTCGAGTTTGGTTCTTTGGACAAGGATATGGGAACCATCTCACGACTAAGTCTACTGATGTCCCTAAGGAGGACAAGTCTGATTGGGAAAAGATTGACAACCAGCTTCTGAGTATCCTCTGGCAATCCATTGATCCGATCGTCTTGGATATCTTTTATTCCTTTCAAACTTGCACTGAAGTATGGGAGGAAGCAAAAAACCTCTACACTAATGGTGTTCAGCAACTCTATTTCATCATCTCTCAATTTATGGAATTGAGCAAATCATCCGACATTCAGATGGAGACATATATTGGCAAGAGTCGCTCTTTGATGCAGGCATATTTGGATATGCTGCCTTACCCTACTGATGCTACTGCATATCGGAAACAGGTAGAACGTCTCTTTATGGTTGCCACACTTTCTGGCCTTCCCGAAGAATATGATAATGTCCGTGATACTATCTTGACTAGTGGGGAGCCTGATCTATCCATGACGTATCAGCGTCTTGTGAATTTGAATAAGAAATCTGCTCCTGCATCGTCTTCTGCTGTTGATTCTACTGCTCTAGTTTCCCGTACTGATTTTCGCGGGAATATTGGAGGTGGACGTGGTCGTGGTAGAGGCCCAGAAGGCCGTGGCCCAGGAGGCCCAGGAGGTCCAGTCGGACGTGGTCAGCGACCTCGTTGTCATTACTGTCAGCAACTTAGTCATTATGAGGAACGCTGCTACACAAAGTATCCTCACATGCGACCTTCTTTTGCTGCTAATATAGCTCAATCGGATACTGCTTCAAATGGTACAGTCTTTCTCTCCTCTGAAGAATATGTAGCATTCCAGGCCCTTCTCAGGAAGTCCTCTCCTCAATCTTAGGCCTCCGCTTCAGAAAATGGTAATCCTGTTGCTTGTGTTTCTCATTCTGCATCACTTGGTCCTTGGATATTTGACTCAGGTGCTACTGATCACCTCTGTGGTAATAAGGAACTCTTTTCTTCCCTTACATATTCTGAAAATTTACCCTCTTTTACTCTTGCTGATGGAACTAAGGCCCCCGTTTATGGGATTGGACAAATCTGTCCAACCTCCTCATTGACCTTGACATCTGTCTATTACATTCCTCACATCCCTTATAACTTAATATCTGTTAGTAAATTGATGAATTCTCTTAATTGTATTGTCACATTCTCAAACCAATCTGTTTCTGTGCAGGACCCGGGTACAGGGAAAATGATTGGAGTGGGCCGTGAGTCACGGGGTCTGTTCTACCTTGATGTGCCGAGTCCTTCAGTTGCTTGTTCTCTCACAGAATCTCCACAACTCATCCACAGTCGTCTCGGGCATCCTAGTCTTGCGAAATTGCAGAAGATGGTTCCTCTTTTATCCGGTCTTCAAACTTTAGATTGTCAGTCATGTCAGCAAGGAAAGCACATCCGCTCCTCCTTTGCTAATCGTGTCAATAAGCGAGCTGATGCTCCTTTTTCAATTATTCATTCAGATGTTTGGGGTCCTAGTCGAAGTGTGTCTGTTTTAGGTTTTCGGTATTTTTCTTACCTTTATTGATGATTTCTCCCGTTGTACTTGGATTTATTTAATGAAAAACCGTTCTGAGTTGTTTTCTATTTATCAAAGGTTTTCTGCTGAAATTCATACTCGATTTGGTGCTTCTATTCGTATTTTACGTAGTGATAATGCTAAGGAATATGTTTCTGTTGACTTTTCTCATTTCTTAGCCACACATGGTACTTTACACCAAACCACTTGTCCTCACACTCCACAACAAAATGGAGTAGCTGAACGTAAGAATAGACATCTCATTGAGATTGCCAGGACTCTTCTTATTCACATGCATGTTCCTCTTCACTTCTGGGCTGATGCAGTCCTTGCTTCTTGCTTTCTCATCAACCGCATGCCTTCATCTGTGCTTAATAATGATATTCCTCATAACTTATTGTTTCCGGATGTTCCTCTCTTTCCTCTATCCCCACATGTTTTTTGGTTGTACCTGTTTTGTTCATGATCTCACTCCTGGTAAGGATAAGTTAACATCCAAAGCCTTTAAATGCATTTTTCTGGGTTATTCTCGTCTTCAAAAGGGTTATCGCTGTTACTCTCCTGATCTCAAGCGTTACTTAGTTTCCGCTGATGTCACCTTTCTTGATCAACAACCCTTTAATTCTATCCCATCTCCATTGTCACAGGTTGATCATGTTCTTCCTGTTCCTTTTCTTGACTTGTCTTTGCCAGATGCAAGTGCTTCTACTCCAGATAAGCAATCACCTATTGCTCCAGTACCTGAGAACCGTCCACTTCTCACTTATCAGCGTCGTAACACAGTACCTCCAGTCGACTCGACCCCTGCTGACTCATTGCCCCCTGCAGTTGATTCTTCCCCTCCGGATCCTTCACCAGAGGCTCTTCCCATTGCTCAAAGAAAAGTTACACGTACTACTCGTAACCCTTATCCTCTTTATACCTTCTTGAGCTATGATCGTCTTTCTCCTCCTCATTTCACCTTTGTTTCTAGTCTTTCTTCTGTTTCTATTCCTAAGACCACAGGTGAAGCACTTTGCCATCCAGGATGGCGCCAAGCGATGCTTGATGAGATGACCGCACTTCATACCAATGGCACTTGGGACCTTGTTTGTGCTCCTCCAGAGAAGTCTATAGTTGGTTGTCGCTGGGTGTTTACTGTGAAAGTTGGACCTGATGGCCATGTTGATCGTCTCAAGGCACGCCTAGTTGCCTAGGGTTTTACTCAAATATTTGGTCTTGATTATAGCGATACATTCTCTCCAGTCGCTAAGATGGCGTCCGTCCGCCTATTTCTTGCCCTTGCTGCTGTTCGTCACTGGCCACTCCTTCAACTTGACATCAAAAATGCCTTTCTTCATGGTGATTTACAAGAAGAAGTTTACATGGAGCAACCACCTGGTTTTGTTGCTCAGGGGGAGTCTGGGAAGGTATGTCGTCTTCGAAAATCCTTATATGGTCTCAAGCAGTCTCCTCGAGCATGGTTCAGTCGCTTTAGTTCTGCTGTACAGGTGTTTGGCCTAATTCGCAGTAAAGTTGACCATTCTGTATTCTATAGGATTACATCTCCTAACAAGTGCATCTATTTGTTAGTCTATGTTGATGACATCATCATCACCGAAAGTGATCAAGACGGAATCCGTCAGTTAAAACAACATTTATTCAGTGCATTTCAAACAAAGGACCTCGGGAAGCTGCCTTACTTCTTGGGAATTGAGGTGGCGCAATCTAGATAGGGCATTTCTATCTGTCAAAGGAAGTATGCCTTGGATATCCTAGAAGAGACTGGTATGTTGGGGTGTAAACCAGTTGATACACCCATGAATCCTAATGTTAAGTTATTGCCCAGACAAGGGGAGCCGTTATTTGATCCTGGACGTTATCGAAGGCTGATTGGGAAGCTCAATTATCTTACTGTGACTAGGCCAGATATTTCTTTCATGAGAGGACCAAACATATAGAGATTGATTGTCACTTCATTCGGGAAAAGATTCAGTCAGGAGAAATCAAGACAGCTTTTGTCAACTCGTCTAATCAACTAGCAGATGTTTTCACTAAAGCTCTTAGAGGTCCTCGGGTTGAATACATTTGTAAAAAGCTTGGTGCTCATAGTATATATGCACCAGCTTGAGGGGGAGTGTTAGAATATTAGATATGATATGATTAGATATGATTGGATTCCGTCTTATCCGTAAATATTCTGACTGTATTAGGATTAGGTTTGGGCCTTTCACTTAAGCCCATTAGGGTCTCTATATATTGTAACTCCCTGACACAGATCAATAAACAACATATTCTTTTACATTTAACTAAAACAAATGGGCCCTTAGTCAGCAATTGCATTTGCATTTACTCGAACTTGTGGGTTTGAACCGTGAGTTTGGCAGAATCCACCGTCTGTCCACACTCAATCTTATAAAAAATGTTACGTATATATATATTTTGGATTCGAAAGATTTTGTGCTTTTTTATTGTACGAAATGGGGAGGGAGTGTAAAAGAAATTTAATTTTACTTTTGTGATATTGCAGCATTTTTGCTTTTAGTGCTTGATAGTCCTCTATTTTAAAACCGCTCTCCATTAAACCCCGACTAAGTAGGGTAAGGGTGCGGGCAATCATTGTACCCATCCTTATCCTAATATATTTTGAAAGATATTATTTCTTGAATTCGAATTCATGATCTCACAATCACCAATGAGCAACTTTCATAGTCCTCTATGATCTGGGACATAATTTCGTACTAATTTTCCTTAATGCAGAACTTATTACACTAGATGCTCACTTGCATGTATGTGTTTCTTTGTCGTTTGTTGAAAAACTTAAGTATGAAATACATATGAAATCCTCTTATCCTCTTATTATCTATAAATTGTTCTTTTACAGGTTAAATCTTGATATTCTCTTATTCCAGGTGCCATTTACCATCTCTTTATATTGGAATGGAATGCATGCGAACTCACAGCTATAAGATTGCAGAGCAGGTATATAATATAAAGTTGGATACATTCAAGGGTCGGTTGGGAGGCATGGAAAGAGAAAGAAAGAGAGAGAGGGGGGGGGGGGGGGGGGGGGGGTTTTTAATGTCTTCGCACTATATCTATGTAAATATGGAATTTGTTGTTAGTAAGAAAAAGAGTTCAAATAAGGCCTACTTTCTATCTTATATTAAAGTCCATTGTGCAGTTTAATTATTGTTCAGTGTAATTAATTCCTATGTAGGATTTAGAAGTTTTGAGCTTTCTTCCCCTAATCAAAACCTAGCAATAACTGATTACCTAATAAATCATTCCTCTCCTACAAATCTGTGTACAGTCCTGCATTATTCATATTCATCCGTACCTATACCAAAATACTAATGCTTCTATATTTTTCCTCAGTTTTTTATGCAGGCTAAGTCTATTTGCCCCTCAGATCCACTTGTGTTTAATGAACTTGGAGTTGTTGCCTATCATATGCAAGAGTAAGGACATCTACCTGCTTTGAATTATTAATTTAGAAACATTCACTACCACATAATTCCCCTCCCTTGAATGCAATTCTAATCATCCTATATTAAAAAAACCAAAGCTTGTATGTGAAGAAACTGATTAACCATGACCCAGTTTTGTACGAAACTTGAGTTCCTTTAATTGTGCTAAAGGAATATATGTTAGTGTTGATTGCACGATATCTGTGGTGAAACAAATTGAGATGGCACTATGGAAGTGTTTGCAGAGTTATCTTTTATTTGGGAATTATATTTGAGATTAAAGAATAATTGTATATTGAATAATTGTGTTACAATGTACAAGAGATCTCTATTTAAAGAGACTAAAAGACCATGTACCAAAAAAAAAAGAGAGACTAAAAGACCTAATGGGCTAAGCCCGCAATATGTGGGACTATATACATTGAACCATTTTAACAACTACTCTAACATTCTCCCTCAAGCTGGAGCATATATATTGTAAGCACCCAACTTGCCACAAATATATTCAACCTGAGGACCCCTAGGAGCTTTAGTGAAGACATCCGCGAGTTGATCATTAGAGTTGACAAATCTCGTTTTAATTTCTCCTGAATGAATCTTTTCTCGAATGAAATGACAATTGATCTCTATATGTTTGGCTCTCATGAAATACAGGATTAGAGGATATATGATTGTCACAAATGAGAGTCATGAGCTGTTTCTGTTCACAAAGATGGAGCTCCCGAATCAACTGCTTTAACCAGATTAGCTCGCAGGTAGCAACTCCCATTGCACGATACTTGGCCCCTGCACTAGATCGGGAAACAACAGTTTGTTTCTTACTTTTCCAAGAAATTAGGTTTCCCCCAAAGAAGACACAATAGCCTGAAGTAGAGCACCTATCCGAGGGTGATTTTGCCCAATCGGCATCTGAATATCCACAAATTTTTGTATTTCCCTAATTTGAATATAATAAACTGGAGGATCTTTAGAGCAGCATCCCAATGAGAATCACAAGGAGAATCAAGAAACTGACTAGCGACACTAATAACAAAAGAAATGTCCAGCCTAGTCGCAGTGAGATAATTGAGCTTCCCAATCAACCTCCGATAACGTCCAGGATCAGATAATGGCTCTCCTTGTCCTGGTAGTAATTTGATAGTAGGATTCATAGGTGTATCAACCGGCTTACACCCTAACATATCAGTCTTCTCTAGGATATCCAAGGCATATTTCCTTTGACATATATAAATGCCCTGTCTAGACTATGCTACTTCAATCTCTAAGAAGTAATGAAGCTTACCAAGATCCTTTGTTTGAAATTGACTGAACAAATACTATTTTAACTGGTGAATCCCATCTTGTTCACTTTCAGTGAGGATAATATCATCGACATAGACTAACAGATAGATGCATTTGTCAGGAGATGTGAGCCTATAAAACACAGAATGATCGACTTTACTGCCAATTAAGCCAAAAGCCTGAACAGCTGAACCAAGCCCGAGGAGATTGCTTGAGGCCATATAAGGACTTATGAAGTCCGCACACCATCCCAGACTCCCTCTAAGTAACAAACCCAGGTGGTTGCTCCATGTAAACCTCTTCTTGTAAATCACCATAAAGAAAAGCATTTTTAATGTCTAGTTGAAGAAGTGGCCAGTGACAAACAGCAGCGAAGGCAAGAAACATTCGACAAACGCCATCTTAGCAACAGGAGAGAACGTGTCACTGTAGTCAAGTCCGAAGATTTGAGTAAAACATTTGGTGACTAAGCGTGCCTTGAGACGGTCAACATGGCCATCAGGTCCAACCTTGACAGTAAAGACTCATCGACAACCAACAATAGACTTTTCTGGAGGAGCAGGAACAAGATCCCAAGTGCCATTGGAATGAAGAGCAGTCATCTCATCAAGCATTGCTTGGCGCCACCCTGGATGGGAAAGTGCTTCACCTGTGGTCCTAGGAATAGAAACAGAAGAAAGATTAAAAACAAAGGTGTAATGAGAAGTAAAAAGACGGTCATAGCTTTAAAAAATATACAGAGGATAAGGGTTACGAGTAGCACGTATACCTTTTCTTTGGGCAATGGGAAGAGCTTATGGTGAAGGAGCCGGTAGGGAAGAGATGACTGGAGAAGGTGATAAGTCACCCAGGGCCAAGTCCGCAGGAGGCACTTACTGACGACGCTGATAGGTTAGAAAATGGTAGTCTGCAGGGATGGAGGCAAGAGCTCTTTCCTCTGGGAGAGAGTCACCTGCAACTGGTAAAGACAAGTCAAGAAAAGGAACAGAAAGAACGTGATCAACCTGTTGTGACAACTGAGACGGGATAGAATGAAAGTTGTTGATAAAGGAAAGTGACATTAGCAGAAACAATGTAACATTTAAGATCAGGAGAATAACAACGAAAACCCTTTTGAATACGAGAATAACAATGTCTTTACCAGGAGTGAGATCGTGAACAAAATAAGTATAACCAAAGACATGTGGAGTTAGAGGGTAAAAAGGAGCATCTGGAAACAATAGATTATGAGGAATGTCATTGTTGAGCACAGATGAAGGCATGCGATTGATGAGAAAACAAGATATAAGTATGGCATCAGCCCGGAAGTGAAGGGGAACCTGCATATGAATAAGAAGGATACAAGCAGTTTCAATGAGATGTTTGTTTTTTCATTCAGCCACCCCATTTTGTTGTGGAGTGTGAGGACAAGTGGTTTGATGTAAAGTACCTTGTGTAGCCAAGGAATTAGAAAAATCAATAGAAAAATATTTCTTAGCATTATCACTACGTAGAATATGAATAGAAACACCAAATTGAGTATGAATCTCAGCAGAAAATCTTTTAATAATGAAAAATAACTCAGAATGATTTTTCATTAAATAAATCCAAGTATAACGGGAATAATCATTAATAAAGGTAACAAAATACCGAAAACCTAAAACAGACAAAGTACGACTTGGACCCCAAATATCTGAATGAACAAGAGAAAGAGAGAAAGGAGCATCAACTCGTTTATTGACTCGACTGGCAAAGGAGGAGCATGTATGCTTTCCTTGCTGACATGACACACAATCTAAAGTCTGAAAATCGAATTAAAAAGGAACTATCTTCTGCCACTTCGGAAGACTTGGATGACCAAGGTGGCTGTGGATAAGTTGTGGAGATTTTGTGAGAGAGCGTGCCATTGAAGGACGAGGCACAACTAGATAGTAAAGCATTCGTGACTCACGACTGACTCCAATCATCTTCCCTGTACCCGGATCTTGCACAAAAACAGAATGGTTAGAGAAAGTAATGGTGCAAGTGAGGTAGTGGACCAATTTACTAATAGAAATTAAATTATAAGGGATGTCAGGAATGTAATAAACAGATGTCAAGGTCAAGGAAGAGGTTGGATGACCTTGTCCAATCCCACGAATTGGGGCTTTGTTCCATCAGCAAGGGTAAAAGAAGGTAAATGATCAGAATAGGTAAGAGATGTAAAGAGTTCCTTATTACCATAGAGATAATCGGTAGCACCTGAGTCAAATATCCAAGGGCCAAATGATGTAGAATGAGAAACACAAGTAACGTGATTACCAATATCTGAAGTGGAAGGCTGAGATTGAGGAGAAGTCTTCGTGAGAAGAGTCTGGAGTGCAGCATAGTCTGACTGAGCTATATTCGCAACAAAAGATGGTCGCAGGGGAGGATACTTCGTGTAACAACGATCTTTAAAATAACCAAGTTACTGACAATAATTAGGAGGTTACGAGGTCTCTGACCACGTCCGCCTAGGCCCCGAGTGTCAGTACGGGAAACAAGAGCAGTGGAATCAACAACAGAAGATGAACCAGGAGCAGAAATTGGTTTCTTGTTGAGATTCAAGAGGTGTTGGTAGGTCAGTGATAGACTAGGATCCCCACTAGTCAGGATAGTATCACGGACAACATCATACTCCTCGGGAAGACCAAAAAGAGTGGTAACCATAAAAGAGATGTTCCACTTGTTTTCGGTATACTGAAGCATCAGAATGGGGTATGGCATCATGTCCAAGTACGTCTGCATCAAAGATCGACTTTTCCTAATATATGTTTCCATCTGAATATCAGATGATTTACGCAACTTCATGAGTTGAGACATGATAGAATAGAGCTCTTGGATATCATTAGTGTAGAGGTGTTTGGCTTCGTCCCACACTTCATAACATGTCTGAATAGAGTAGAAAATATCCAAGACAACTGGATCAATTGACTGCCAAAGAATACTCAGAAGTTGATTATCAGTCCTTTCCCATTCAGATTTCTCAGCCTTAGGGATATCAGTAGATGGGACAATGAGATGATGCCCATGCCCCTGTTCAAAGAACCAGACACGAACATAGGTGGCCCAATTCTTGTAATTATCAGAACCCTTAAGTTTGGAAGAGATAATGAGCCCAACATTAGTAGAGATAATTCTTGAGGAAGTTTGGGCAGAAGGGGAGTTAACCTCCGAGAGATCAGAGAACGTTGCTGCTGTTTAAAGACAAAATATAAAAGCCACAAACAAAGGCAAACGATATCCAATCAAGAAGAACGACGCGTCGAAAGTGAGACCCACGAAGAACCAAGCTCAGATATGGAAAAAGGAAGAAAAATCGAGCTAGTCTGTCCACAGTGCACACGCGTCGGTGAAGGGTGGCGCGTGAGCACCACGCGCAGGGAGAAGGAGCCGTGCGTGAGAGCGCGTGTCTCCTTTGATGATTGGTCTTCCACCGACTTGGTCGCCGGAGAGAGAGGGCTCTGGTCGCAGGCTTTTCGGTTGAAATTGACGCCGGAACAGTATTCTGGGTTCCTGAACAGTGACGAATTGTGGTTGTTGGCGGCAGGCAGTGGTTCTGACGGTTGAAGAATCAAGCCGAAGAGATGCACGACTTAGGGAACCTGTCGGAGGGACTCATGACTGATGAAAACCTTGCCGGAAGAACGCACGACAAAGTAGAAGGGAACACCTAAGCAGTGAGCTTAGGGTTTTAATGGAAACTGATC